TCCTAACTTAATCGTTCTCATTTGAGACTTTAAGCCAGTGTCCCCAACTGAGACATAGTCTTTGCTCTTCAGAGCAGTGGGTCTTGACAATGTTTTCTCCAGTGGCTGAAATGGCTTTGATCCTAAGTCCTGTAGAGCTGGGTCATAAGGTCATTATGAGTCACTAGCTATATACTTGTCAGGTTCTAGGGGCTGCACTGGGTGTTGAGCATGGTAAATAAATCGATTAGAATTTATTACTCCTCAGATTTAGAGATGGTCAACTGAGAGTTGCAGGCAGGGCCAATTTAACCTGACTCAAAAAGTATAGCAAAGTCTCAGAAAGAAAAGACTAGAAATGGCTACGATAGGTCAATGGCTGACATTATCCACTGTTTAATTCAGATACCATCGAATTAGGCTGGGTAGTGGTGGTGCACGCCTTTAATTCCAACACGGGAGGCAGAGGCAAGCAGATCTCTGTGAGTTCAAGGCTAACCTGGTGTATGGAGTGAGTTCCAGGATAGCCAGAACTACACTGAGAAACCATGTCTCAAACAAACAAATGAACAAACAAAAAAACAAAACAAAACAGAACAAAGCAAAACAAAAGATAATGTGGAATTATGCTATAACTGATACCATGTTTTCCACTATGTTCTTATTTGTTTTTTTGTTTTTGTTTAATTTCAGTGTGCATGTATGAGGGAGGTGTGTGTGTGTGTGTGTGTGTGTGTGTGTGTGTGTGATCTCAAAGAACAACTTTCAAGAGCTGGTTCTCCTTTCACCTTCTTGAGGCAGGGTCTGGTTTCTGTTGTGCTGTGAAGCGAGTCTAGCTTCACTGTGTGCAGCTGTCTTATGAGAGCTCTAGGGCTTGAGCTCAGGTCGCTAGACTTGCCAGGTGAGTGCCTTTATCCACTCATCATCTTGCCTCTCCTGTTCTCTACAAAAGGGTCATTCTCTTTAACACCTGCTTAAAGAGAAGCTAAGGTTCTTTCTCACTTCCTCCTTTCAAGTGCATTATAAAATGCTAGCTGTGTGTCCTTTTCTAAGTTCTCTGTGTGTTGTTAAGTCTGTGAGTATTGTGTTAACACAATTGTCAACTTGAGAGATCATCCAGGAGACAACTTCTACACTTTTTTTTTAAACTTGAGAAATAACTTTTGGCTTATTTCAGACGACAAACTTGTATGTGTTATCTTGTACTAGCCTCTTGGGTGCTTCTTAAATTGTGCAGTGTGATGTGGTGGAAAGAGTTACTGCAAAAATGGTGAGATAGTAGATTCTCTCCCCGGCTGCTTCGTCAGCTGTGTAAGACAAATGAGTCACTATGACCAGGGCACAGGTCTCTTACATGTAAAACGCAAGGTTTATACTTAATGCCACTCAGGGTCATTTGAGCTAAGAAATGCATGCAAAGATCATAATTTTTATTATCACTGTGTAGAAGCATCAGGAGTTAGGGGTTTTCTTTTTTTCCTTCTACTTTTTGTTTGTTTGAGACAGGGTTTCTTTTGTAACCTTGGCTGTCCCGAAACTGGCTCTATATACCAAGCTGACCTCAAACTCACAGGGATCTGTTGTGCCCAGATTCTGAACCCCAAAATTACCAAGAGAACTGTTCAGATGCAAAAGCAAGGAGTCTTTTATTGTTGTTTAACAAGCTAGCTGCCATTGGTAACGTTGTTCTGGACAAATTAAGTTTAGAATTTATATTCTTTTTTGTTTGTTTATTTTTCGAGACAGTGTTTCTCTGTATTACTTTGGAGGTTGTCCTGGAACTTGCTCTGTAGAAATCACAGAGATCCACCTGCCTCTGCCTCCTGAGTGCTGGGATTAAAGGCATGAGCCACCATTGTCCGGCCCAGGCTGGCTTTAAACATAGCCCAGGCTGGCCTTAAACTCATTGAGATGTGCTGGCCTCTGCCTCCCATCAAGGTATTTTTTATATTATCTTGACTAGGAAAGAACAAATGTCAATCAGGCTGTAATGATAATATAATACAAATACCTCTAAAATTTGTACTATATACTAGAAATTGTGGTGATGTTATTGTAACAGAGGAAACTGGGGTCCACTTTTGGGTATATCATTAATAAAAGAATTTCAGAATTGACTCAAATGGAAGCACAAAGACAATTTTATTAGTTTGAAAGAAAAACATTAGGGCAGGTAAGCTGTAACACCTCAGCAGCTGTTCAGAGGAGGAGGTCGGAGGAGAGAAGGGAAGGCCATGCCATGTAAGCTGGCTGCGGGTCGGACATGTGGCAGAGAGGCAGCCATGTGGGCAGGGCAAAAGCTTCAGAGAAAGTGAGGAAGGCCAAAATGTTGGCGTGGTGGAGAAGCCCAGAGAGTTAAGGAAACTATGCTTAGAAAAAGAGATAAAGAAAAAGATGAAAAGGTTTATTTTTATGAATAATTCAGAAAAATGAACAGATTTACCCCCCCACCCCCACCCCTACAGGTACAGTTCTTCAGTTATTGCACTGGGTGCAGTGATTCTGGATAGGAAAAGTGCAGTATCTTATTTAAGGACTAATTATTCTGCCCATCTCCTTAGCATGGCTTGAGGGAACCTGCCTTCCTAGGGATGGTCCCTTAGACAAAGTGATTGAACCAGCCTGACTGGAATGTTAAGTCTCCATGCAGGCCAGACATTCCATTCTCTTGACCAGCTTTTCTTTTCTTTCTTTTTTTACCTACTCCAACATTAGGAAATAATGGGGACCAGAGGTACCAATTCATAGTTGAACGCAATGTGGTAAGAACTAGAACAGATACAAAAACATGCAATCTTAGAGAGGAGGTAAGTACTAGTCCCATTTAAGACAATTTTATTAGCTTATAGTGAGAAGGGGATGAAGCGATGTTTAAGAGTTCTTGTTGCTCTTATAGAGGACCTAGGTTTGGTTTTCAGCACCCACACAGTTGTGCTTAGCCATCCGTTACTCCAATTCCAGGGAATCTGTGCCTTCTTCTGATCTCTGTGGGTCCCTTTAGGCAAACACTCATGTGTTAAAAAGAAAGAAAACCTTTAAAAAGTTGAGGAACATATTCCAGAGAAAGTGGTATTTAGAATTAGATTTAGATCAGATCTCAGGGCTTCTTACTAAGGAATAGATGAGTAAGATTTGTGCTGTGGACATACATGTTCAGAAGAAGAAATTGAAAGGGGTAAACTAAACTCAAGGGCTTCACTTCTAATAATTTAGAAATAAAGGGACCAGACCCTCACTCAGCCCCCTGCTTTAGCAGCCATGACAGGCTACAGAAAAGACACATAGGCTTCTGACACAAGGAAACTCCAGATCCTCTGGCCTCCTAGAGTCTAGGGCCAAAACTGAACACAAAGAAACTCCAGATCCAACCCCCCACCCCCAGCCTCCTAGATGCTTGGTTCCTGGGAGCTGTTTGGCAACAAAAGAAACTCCAGGGGGGAGACCAAAACCTCCCCATAGTCTCCAGGATATAGTTTTGAAAACTATTGGTATCTATGTACAACAGGTGTATTTTCTTTTTATTTTGTTAATATGGTGTGCTATATTTGTTGATTTAAAAATAATAGATCAACTACGAATTCTTGAGCAAACTGCTGTTGGTTATAGTATATCATATCTTACATAGTGCAAGAAGGAATGCAAGATTAGGAAGAATTAATTATATGAGACTGAAAGTCTCTAGGATGACCAGATTTGAATGGAAAGAATACAAAACACATAAAATGTGAACAGGCTCTTCAATAAGTGATAGTCAGCATTGTTGATGTAGAAAGAGGAAATGAAAAAGTACAATGCGCTGGAGTAGTCACATGACCTAGACTTCAATTGAGATCATAGGTTTAGAAATAGGAAATAAGTAATAGATAATTTTCTGTTCTGTCACTGTTTTACTTCTTCATCAAGAGTGCATGCATTCTCATTACAAAAATCCTAAAATGTGGAGAAGTATATGAGATAGAAAATGATAGCTTGAATTGGGGGGAGTTTTCCTAAGTTGATAGAATCATTGCCTCGCTCTCATGAAACCTTGGATTTGAGCCCAAAGACGGAACAAAATCGAGAGTGGTGGCATGTGCTCTGGTGGCTGGTTGATTAGAAGTTCAAAGTCATTCTCTACTACATAATGAGATCAAGGCCATCCTGGACTGCATTAACAAATGAAAAACTGCAGTTAACTGCAGGTAGCACACCATATTTGAACCAGTTCTGCTAAATGTCCCTTCAAAATCGTGTTGAACCAATTTATATTTCTGGGAACAATATTAGCAAATCTCTAAAACCTTACCAGCCACATCTGATTATTTTAAGAACTGACTTTCCCAAAGACTACTCAGAAGGTTAAGTCAACCTGTTAATATAACGAAATGATGAAGACTGCTACTCGTGTTTCCTGTGACTAAATGAGATCAGACTTGGTTTTGCCACTAACAATTTGTGCCAGCTAAAACGTTTCTAAGTTATAGGGTTGCAAGTTCACATTTGGGGCGCACAAAGAACATATTTGTGGACAGAACTCAGTACTCATCATCATGTGTGGAATATCCCTTATGCTGAGGGGTGCTAGATAGCCTTTTAGCACTGTAATCGGGGCCGTTCTGTATACGGTGGAGTCACCAATAAATCTACAAAACCGCAAAAAAAAAAATGGTGACACTTAACAGACTGCATGGAGCAGTTGCTTATAGTATGAGAACGGAATGAGGCAGCAGAGACCCATTTTGTTCAACTTCTGCTGTGTTTTCTTTATGGTCAGTGACTTTTTTGTTTTGGCTAAAGGAGAATTGAATTTTTATTTTTAATTTTTCGCTACAGATAGAGGCCAGGGCCTTGGCAGGCAAGTGCTCGGCCGCCACTGAGCTTGTCTTTGCCAGTTACTCAAGAAGGCGAGCCGCGCGCAATCGCGGACCCAGGTTTTAGCAGCACTCGGTTAACTAGCGCCGCCCAGAGGTTAAGTTCATAGCCGCCGAACGCGAGCGGAAGTGACGCAAGGAAGTAGTCGGGCACCTCCGCCCGCCCCCGCCCCGCCCCCGCGGCGCTAGCGGAGCCAAGATGGCGACCGAGCTGGAATACGAGTCTGTGCTGTGTGTGAAGCCTGACGTCAGCGTCTACCGGATCCCGCCGCGGGCCTCGAACCGCGGCTACAGGTACTGAGCGGGCTCTGCGGCCCGCGCCCGCCGCGGTGACGGGTCTGTCCTTGGGCTGCACGCTCCGGCCCGTGTCGCTGCCTCCGAGCGGTCTCCTGATTAGCGCACCACCCAGGCGGCCAGCGTCTCTCCTGACTCCGCTGTTTTTCCGGAACTCTTGTTTTGTTTTATTCTCGTACTGCCTTCGTGCATCACTCCACCTGCCCTCCTCATCCCCCTCGGGTCATCATCTGCTCCCCGTCATCCGCATCCATTCATGCCTGCTCCATCTGTTACTCGTCTGCGACCTTTGGCTTGTAATCCTCCACGCGCGCATGTGCACACGTACCCAGCCCGCGCTCTCCCTCTCTTCTCCACCCCCATACTCATAGTGTTGCTGTCCACGGTTTGCCTGAGATGGTGATCTGATTTAATTAACACGGTTGTCATTCTCGACAAGTGTCATCATCCTCACCCGCCATTCGGGTTTTCTTTTAGGCGTTGTGTGCGTGTGCGTGTGTCAGATCCTGTTTTCCAGAGATTAGCTATTCCGTTTCTTTTCATTTTGTGTGTTTGCCTGTCCATATTATAGCTTTTGATTATGTAGGGATTTCTGCCTTCCTGTTTTTTGGCCACCTCTCGTATGGCTTTTCCAGAGTCAGTGCGGCGTTTTTGCTCTGTAAGGCCCGACACCCCTGTGTTCTAGTGATTGAGGGTTTGAGGATGCAGAATGTTAATGGAGTTCAAAGAGAATTCACTGGGATTTGTGTTGAAAGCTGTTGAGTCTGAGCCCTGGACACTAAATAGATTTATAATTTATAAGCCAATGTCTTAACTTCTCTGGACCTTCTCTCATTTGTAAAATAGGAAAAGTAATGCAAGTGTACTGTGCACTCCTTATGTTCCTCACAGAGTTTTCTCCCCACCTCTCTTTTCTAAGACAGGGCTTCTCTGAGTAGCCCTGGCTGTCCTGGTACTCACTTTGTAGACCAGACTGACCTTGAACTTGGAGCTCTGCATGCCTCTACCTCCCAAGTGCTGGGATTAAAGTCGTGCACCACTGCCCAGCAGCAGGGTTTTATTTCTTTAATGATGTGTTTTATTTATTTTATATTATGTGTATGGGTGTTTTGCCTCTCTGTGTGTGTGTGTGTGTGTGTGTGTGTGTGTGTGTGTGTGTATGTATGTGTATCCCTTGTGCTCACAGAGGTCAAAAGATTATATCAGATTTCCTGGAACTGGAGTCACAGATACTTATTTGTGAGACACTACATGGGTGTTGGCAACTGAACCCTGGTTGCCAGAGCCAAGAGCAACAAGTGTTCCTAACCATTGAGCCATTCTCCAGCCCCCTCACAGGGTTTTTTTTTTTTTTTGAGAGTGAAAGTAAGTAATATAATGGATGTGAAAGAATGTAGGATAATTAAAGCATTATAAAAATAAAATATTAGTCTTTTCTGACTGACATACCAATGTGGTTTTTCTCCTGGTATCATTATCTTTGCTGAAAGGTTATCTTCTCCACAACTCCATTTGCTTACTAATCATCAGTTTGTGTTTGTAGACTTATGCCGTGGGCCCTATCGGTTGTTTATTTGGCAGAGGTAGTTCTGCCTTCAAGGAGCCATGACTGAGACATGACCTTGACCATACATGAAACTCAGATGGCAGTCACAGGTGCACATTGACTTGATGGCAGTCACAGGTGCACATTGACTTGATGGCAGTCACAGGTGCACATTGACTTGGTGGCAGTCACAGGTGCACATTGACTTCTTGATGGCTGTCACAGGTGCACATTGACTTCTTGATGGCTGTCACAGGTGCACATTGACTTCTTGGTGGCAGTCACAGGTGCACATTGACTTGATGGCTGTCACAGGTGCACATTGACTTGATGGCAGTCACAGGTGCACATTGACTTGGTGGCTGTCACAGGTGCACATTGACTTCTTGATGGCTGTCACAGGTGCACATTGACTTCTTGGTGGCTGTCACAGGTGCACATTGACTTGGTGGCTGTCACAGGTGCACATTGACTTCTTGGTGGCAGTCACAGGTGCACATTGACTTCTTGATGGCTGTCACAGGTGCACATTGACTTCTTGATGGCTGTCACAGGTGCACATTGACTTGATGGCAGTCACAGGTGCACATTGACTTCTTGATGGCTGTCACAGGTGCACATTGACTTCTTGGTGGCTGTCACAGGTGCACATTGACTTCTTGGTGGCTGTCACAGGTGCACATTGACTTGGTGGCAGTCACAGGTGCACATTGACTTCTTGATGGCTGTCACAGGTGCACATTGACTTCTTGATGGCTGTCACAGGTGCACATTGACTTGATGGCAGTCACAGGTGCACATTGACTTCTTGGTGGCTGTCACAGGTGCACATTGACTTCTTGGTGGCAGTCACAGGTGCACATTGACTTCTTGGTGGCTGTCACAGGTGCACATTGACTTCTTGGTGGCTGTCACAGGTGTACATTGACTTCTTGATGGCTGTCACAGGTGCACATTGACTTGATGGCTGTCACAGGTGCACATTGACTTCTTGATGGCTGTCACAGGTGCACATTGACTTCTTGATGGCTGTCACAGGTGCACATTGACTTCTTGATGGCTGTCACAGGTGCACATTGACTTCTTGGTGGCTGTCACAGGTGCACATTGACTTCTTGGTGGCTGTCACAGGTGCACATTGACTTGGTGGCAGTCACAGGTGCACATTGACTTCTTGGTGGCTGTCACAGGTGCACATTGACTTGGTGGCAGTCACAGGTGCACATTGACTTCTTGATGGCTGTCACAGGTGCACATTGACTTCTTGATGGCTGTCACAGGTGCACATTGACTTGATGGCAGTCACAGGTGCACATTGACTTGGTGGCTGTCACAGGTGCACATTGACTTCTTGATGGCTGTCACAGGTGCACATTGACTTCTTGATGGCTGTCACAGGTGCACATTGACTTCTTGATGGCTGTCACAGGTGTACATTGACTTGATGGCAGTCACAGGTGCACATTGACTTGGTGGCAGTCACAGGTGCACATTGACTTGATGGCTGTCACAGGTGCACATTGACTTGATGGCAGTCACAGGTGCACATTGACTTGGTGGCAGTCACAGGTGCACATTGACTTGATGGCTGTCACAGGTGTACATTGACTTCTTGGTGGCTGTCACAGGTGCACATTGACTTGATGGCTGTCACAGGTGCACATTGACTTGATGGCAGTCACAGGTGCACATTGACTTGGTGGCAGTCACAGGTGCACATTGACTTGATGGCTGTCACAGGTGCACATTGACTTCTTGGTGGCAGTCACAGGTGCACATTGACTTCTTGGTGGCAGTCACAGGTGCACATTGACTTCTTGATGGCTGTCACAGGTGCACATTGACTTGATGGCTGTCACAGGTGCACATTGACTTCTTGATGGCTGTCACAGGTGCACATTGACTTCTTGATGGCTGTCACAGGTGCACATTGACTTCTTGATGGCTGTCACAGGTGCACATTGACTTCTTGGTGGCTGTCACAGGTGCACATTGACTTCTTGATGGCTGTCACAGGTGCACATTGACTTCTTGATGGCTGTCACAGGTGCACATTGACTTCTTGATGGCAGTCACAGGTGCACATTGACTTCTTGATGGCTGTCACAGGTGCACATTGACTTCTTGATGGCTGTCACAGGTGCACATTGACTTCTTGATGGCTGTCACAGGTGCACATTGACTTCTTGATGGCTGTCACAGGTGTACACTGACTTCTTGATGGCAGTCACAGGTGCTATGCTATGACCAGTCACAGGTGCACATTGGCTTCTGTGAGGCCTCTACCTGACCCATTTTGGGTGGGGCCAGCAGTGTGTGGGCTTCCATAGCATGTCTGCTTTAATGGGTGTGTGGTCTCCTGTTTTCTAGCCTGAAGTCTGTTAAACTTTCTATTTGTATGGACTAGCAGTGTCTGTCACATAGTAGGTACTTAGCAAATACTTACTGAAAGAAAAAATGGGGCCATCTCAGCAGGTAAAACTCTTCCTGTGCCAACTGAAGGAGTTTGATTCCCCAATTCCAGATAAAGGGAGAAGTAGAGACGTAATTTCAGATTGTCTTCTGACTGCTACATATGTGTGTGGCAAGCCTCTGCCCACACACATACATTATACACTGGATAATACATTAAAAAGAAGGAATTGGATTATGTAACCAACCCAGTCATACAAGCTAACAATGACTGAACTGATAAGTAAAGTATACTATCTCATGAGTTCCTTTAGGGGTTAAGACTTCCAGAATGATATCATATACATTCTATTTTCCTTTTACTTCAAGACAGAGGTCCTGAGTTCAATTCCCAGCAACCGCACTGTTTCTCACAACCATCTATAATGAGATCTGGTGCCTTCTGGCCTGCAGGCATACATGCAGAATACTGTATACATAATAAATAAATAAACCCTTAAAAAAAAAAAAGAAGCCGGATGTTGGTGGCTCAAGCCTTCAATCTCAGCACTTGGGAGGCAGAGGCAGGTGGATCTCTGTGAGTTCGAGACCAGCCTGGTCTATGGAGCAAGTTCCAGGACAGCCTCCAAAAGCCACAGAGAAACCCTGTCTGGATAAACCAGAAAAAAAAGCAAGTGTGTGATGTATGCATGTGGTGTGTGGATGGTGTGTGGTAGGTGCTTCGTGGCTGTTACCTCTCTTTCCCTCTCCTTTGTAAATACATTTTTATTGCTAAGGTAAATGAGAAACTGTGGGATCAGTTTTACTTATGTTTTACACAGGGTCTCACAGTGTAGTCCTGTGGCTCAAAACTTGCAGAGATCTGCCTGCCTCTGCTTCCCAGCTTGTGGGACTTAAGTTTTTTGTCACCATGCCTGGCCTGAGGTTTGTTTATAGTATTGTTAGGAGACCAGCAAAACCAAGAGGATCAAAGATGAAGGAAATGACTGGCACGTGTCCATTTATTTATTGAGAATTTGTTAAGTATTTAAAGATACAATGACAAGGTAGCTGTCCAAAGAAATACATCAGTAGGGTTGTTCCTAATATTTCCCTATTTATGCTATGTCTGACTGTCAGTAGTGTGGCCACAATAAATAACGGTTTAGTGAAAAACTTAATAGGGGCAAGCAAGGGGCTAGCTCAGTGGGTAAAGGTGATTGTTGCCCAGCCAGACTACCTGAGTTTGATTCCCGGGACCCACGTGATAGGAGGAGAGAACTCCTGTAAGTTGTCATCTAACTTCCACATGCATTTCACGGCATGTGTGTGACTCCACCCCCAAGCCAAACAAACAAATAAGCAAGCAAATGTAACTAAGAAAGGTAATCCATGAGGACTTGTGGAATGCTCTAATCTGTATCAGGTCCTTGAGAGACTTTTAAGGTAGACTGTCAAGAGGGAGGGGACCACAGGGATTAGTTTACAGTCCTGCTCAAAGCTCTGCTGGGGCTGCCATCTGCATGCTAGACTGCTTGCCTAACACACTCAAGGCCCTAGGTTTGACCCCAAACCTCTGCTTTTTGTTAGTTTCTCCTTTTAACTTACCATCTTAATCTTTCTGTTGTTCAGATACGTCCTGTTCTTTTCTTGTCTGTAAGTACTGGAGTTTTGTTTTTTGTTTTTGTTTTGCTTTGTTTCAAGACAGGGCTTTAACTTTGTAGCTCAGGCAAGCCTCATACTCCCTGTATTGCTGAGGGTTCCCTTGAAGTCCCAGTGTTCCTGCTTTTCATTCCTCAAGGACTGTAGGCATGCACACCACACTTTGCAGTCTTCGGGTTCATAAGAAGTAAATTATTTACATATTTCCCCCTTTTCTACACCCTTAACAAAATTCAGTGTTTTGTAGCCTTGGTTATAAATACTTTATTAGATTTTACTCAGGTCCATAAAAACACAGATAACAAGTGTTTGGGTTTTCAGATGGTTTATAAACAGTGGTAATTTCATTTCAGATGTTCTTCCTGAACTTTTCTCTCACATACTCAACTATCTGCTCCTAGATGTCTCAAATCAAGCATATTGAGAATCCAACCTCCATCTGTCCAGACAGGGTCCACAACTAGCCTTCCTTATTTTAGTCATTGTGGTTTGCTCAGGCTGAACAGTTTGGGGTTCGCCTTGGCCTCTGTTTCTCCTGGCCCCCACACCTAATGCTAGCATCAGGAAATCCTGCTGCCTTTACTTTCAATACATCTAGAATCTAGCCAGTGGCTTTGGCTCCTGTGTCTTCCAAGCTCTTCTCATGACTCATTGCAGCGTTCTTAACTGATTGCTTCAGTCATCACATCCTACATTTCTTTTCCACACAGCAGACAAAGTGATCTCTTAGGATCCAAGGAGGACTGGGTCACTTATTTCTAATACCTGCAGCTAGCTTTTTACCCAGCATAAGAGCTGCAGTGCTTCTGGTGGCTCTCAAGGCCTGCGTGGTTTGGCTTCCCTCCTCAGCAGTGCGCTTTCGCCTCACTGCACCTCTCACGAGCCCTGTGCTGACACTGTTTTCCCTCAGGCACCCGGAGGCCCTCAGCTGCTCCACCTTTTTCAGTGTCCCCTGAGCCTGGGCATTGACCAGTTTTGCAGTGTCAGGCTGCACTGTGAAGCAGGCCTCAGATCCAGTCCAAAGCAGGTGGTTATCGCCACAGCCTTTGGGCCACTGTTTATCCCACATTTTTGCCTAACATTTCACCTTCTTGGTGAGGCTCCTTTTTGGTGCTGGGGATTGAACCCAGGGCTTGGTGAATGCTGCACAAACATTTGACCACTGAGCTTTGCCCTCAGCTCTTGGTCACTCTTGAATCCTGTAACCTGTGCCCCTTGTCCTCCTAGACTTTCTTATCTGTCTCTGCATTTCCTTCTCACTTTAAACTAATAACCCGAGAGACTGATATTGTTATTTATTATGTTTCCTTTTTGTTGATTGCCTTCTGTTAGAATGTAAATTTTCTGAGGGGAGGGGAAGAATGTGTTGTTATATTCCAAGCATCTACAGCGGTGCCTCCCACTTAATCAGTACCCTGTAATATTTATTTATTTATTTATTTATTTATTTATTTATTTATTGGTTTTTCGAGACAGGGTTTCTCTGTGGCTTTGGAGACTGTCCTGGAACTAGCTCTTGTAGATCAGGCTGGTCTGGAACTCACAGAGATCCACCTGCTTCTGCCTTCTGAGTACTGGGATTAAAGGCGTGAGCCACCACCACCCGGCATACCCTATAAATATTGGTTGAAATCCATGAAAGGTAATATATGGTTAGTGATTTTGGATGCTTCTGTTACCCAGGCCATTTCATCTAGCAGATGGATTTTGTTCTCTGAGTAATGAGGCACCATTGGGTAGAAAGTCATCTATAGGTAGGAGAGTAGCATCATAAGAATCATTTAGAATTTTTCTTTCTTTCTTTTTTTTTTGAGATGGGCTTACTGTATAGAATAGGTTGGCCCTGAACCACAGAGGTCTGCCTGCCTTTGCTTCTTGAGTGCTAGCATACATCCTGAAACTCAGCTGAATTTTTATTTATTTATTTATTTCCTGGTGTTGGGAGTCTAATTAAAGACCTCATAGTGAGGAAATACTGGTCCAAAACAAGACTGAAAACCAGCTGGGCAAACTCCAGACTATGCATCTCAATGTCTGATGTCAAATGCTCTTCACATCTCCAACTCCTTTCAGCTCTTTGACTTACTTCTCTTAGGCTGGTTCCACTCTGTTAGCAACTCTCCTCACAGGTATCTCACGACTCTGGCATCTCTAACATCTTGGGGTTTCCAAGGCAACTGAGGCTTTAACTTCACAGCTTTATGTAATGGCCTCTCTACTAGGCCTCCATTCATGGAGGCCTGACACATTCCTGGCCTAAGCAGCTTCTCTTAGGCATGGAGGCCTATTCTTTTATCTGTAACTCCAGAATCACATGACAGAAGCTGCCAAAATCTGCTGCTTGCTGGAGCTGGAACATAGTCTCCTCGTTCAGTTATGTCTTCACCAGCTTTCTGTCCTTCACTGCCGAAGCTTGGCTGTCCTGAGATATGCTCTGTAAACCAGGCTGGCCTCAAACTCACAGATCTACCAGCCTCTGCCTTCTCAGTGCTGGGATTAAAGGTGTGCGCCATCACACCTGGGTCAAAACTTTTTTTAGTTTCTTTTTTCAAGCTGGAAATTTAGCTGGGATCTTGCCCTGAGGTTACCACCCCCTACATTCTATTTCTCAATCCACTTATCTCCTTGAACAAAAGATTTAGTTCCATTCTACTTCCTGGTGCTCTTTTTCTCCTCAAAGTTTACATTTTGTAATTTACCCTGCTCAGCTTGCTCCTTTTCATTATAAATGCATGGACACTAGTAACTACATGGCAGACTCTGTACTAGGTTGTTTTGAGATTTCCTCTGTCAACAGAATTAATCCAAAACTTTTCACTTTAGCCTCAGGTATTATCGTCAGACAAGGACAAAAGGCAGCCACTTTCTTCACCAAAATATCTCAAGAACTATCTCTAGGCAACATACTAACATTCTCCTCTGAAACCTGATGAAACCTTGACAGTTCAAATAACTCTTAACACCTCTGTCTTTGATTCTTCTACTGGTATGGCCCACTAAACAGTGCTTATAGCATTCCACTGCTTTTCAAACCCAAAGTACCAAAGTCTAGATTCCTCCAAACAAAAACATGGTTAGGCCAATCACAGTAGTACCCCAGTCCCCGGTACCAACTCCTGCCTTAGTTAGAAGAGATACTGTGACTATGGCAACTCGCTTACAGTTTAGAGGTTCATTCCACTATCATCATGGCGGGGAGCATGGTGGCGTGCAGGCAGACAAGGTGCCGGAGAGGGAGCTGAGAGTCCTACATCTTGCATGCAGCAGGAAGAGAGAGAGATACAGACACAGAGACAAGGCAGGCAGATCTCTGAGTTCCAGGTCAGCCTTGTATACAGAGCGAGTTCTAGGACAGCCAGGGCTACACAGGAAACTGTCTTGAAAAACTCAAACAACAAAAGACAAAAAAACAAAAGTACCTGAGGCCTCAGGCTTGCCATTTTCCTTTCCCAGGGCATCTGATTGGAAGTTAGACCAGCCTGATTGGACTGGCCGCCTCCGGATCACTTCAAAAGGGAAGATCGCCTACATCAAACTGGAAGATAAAGTTTCAGGTACGCACAGGGCCTCTCAAACGTGGGTGCTGCGTTGGTGTGCTTTTGTCAGTCCCATGGGACTGGCATGGGAAAATACTTGTTCTTTGAGTGCTGCTCAAGGAGGTCTCTTTCTTGCTGATAGGGGAGCTCTTTGCTCAGGCACCAGTAGAACAGTACCCTGGTATTGCTGTGGAGACTGTGACAGACTCCAGCCGCTACTTTGTGATCAGGATCCAGGATGGCACCGGTAAGTGAGCTGGGCTTTCTGCTGGGATGAGACGAGGAAATGGTGAATGCGCTCTGATAAAGTTGTGCCCCGTTACAGTCCTCGTCCTTTTGATTACTTCTCCCTTGCTTTCAGAGTGACTATGGTTATCGAAGGGAAAGGGTTAACATTTTGTAGACGTGAGCATAAGTTCAATTGAGTTTAAGTTAAAGTAATCAAAATGCTTATTTAACAAAAGAGATTCATATTATAATTGCTGTGGGATTGGCTTGGATCATCCATTTTCTAGGGCAGGAGTTCTCAGCCATTTCTTCAATTTTATTTATCTATTTATCTTTTGTTTAGATAGAGTCTCACTATGTTGTAATCCTGGCTGGTCTGGCGCTTACAATGTATGCCAGGCTGGTCTTGAACTCAGAGATTGGCCTGCCTTTGCTAGGCTTAAACACATGCGCTACCACACCCGGCCTCCTCATACTTTTTAATAGATTCGTAACCAAAGACAGTAAATGTTTTTGGCTTTGTGGGCCAAGTTGTAACTGCTGCTCCCAGTTGGGTGGTTGCAGGGTGAAGTAGTCACAGACGCACCTGTCCAAGTCGATGTGGCTGTATTTCAGTAGAACTTTATTTTCAGACTCACGCTGTGGGAAGAGTTGGCCTCATTTGGCTGCATGTTATCTGCTGACTGCAGGTCTGTGAGAAAATACTAGGCAGATTTTATGCAGTTCGAATGACATGTTTGTCTCTGATAGGCAGAAGTCGTTACAAGGAACCCGTTTTCTGAGATTCCTCCTTTTCACAGGGCGTAGTGCGTTTATTGGCATTGGCTTCACAGATCGGGGGGACGCCTTCGACTTTAACGTTTCCTTGCAAGATCACTTCAAGTGAGTGAAGCTTGTCCTTAGATTTCAGGGCTAGTAATTGTGGGGTTGGGGTTCTGCTTCTTTCTGCGAGGGTGTTTCTCTCGCCACATGGTTTACTCAGTAGTCCTTGTGCTGTGGTTTGGGTTGATGCTTGTTTATGACCCTGGGAGTTGACCTTTCTACTAAAAAGGTGGTGGAGGGTGGCATACAGCAGCATCCAGCCTGCACACGGAGAGGCGTGTGCCAGTTCCGTTTGTTTTGTAGCTGATGTGTTTTGTGCCTATGTATTTTCTTCAGCCCGACTGAGTTTGGTCCAGCTGCAGTGAGCAGTGCCTAGCACCAGATCACTTTCTATCTCTGGGACAGTGTAACTCTCTCTCTATTGCTCCAAACTCTGAAATTTAGAGCCCAGAGATGGAACCTGCAAGAACATGGTGACTGACACATCTCCTTTGGGGCAGTACTCTGCCAAGGGCCGGGAACTGTTGGGAGGGATGTTTCTTCCATGCGTCCCCCATTGCTCCTCAGTCTGAACTCGGTCTGAACTCAGTCTGAACTCGGTCTGAACTCGGTCTGAACCCAGCGGACCTCCCTTTTCTCTCTCATGTCTTATGGTCCCCACTCTGCTTTCTGGAATTCCAGTCCGTCTGAGTGAGATTTAGCCAGATTTGTGTCAGACTCTGCTTCTTCAGGGAATTCTAAATTGAGATAAATTATTTCCCCAAAGGTGGGTGAAGCAGGAAACTGAAATTTCCAAAGAATCTCAGGAAATGGACAATCGTCCCAAGTTGGATTTAGGCTTCAAGGAAGGACAGACCATTAAGTTGAGTATTGGGGTAAGTGTGATTTCTTTTTGCTTTTTAATTTTTTAAAAAATTTTATGCATATGAGTATTTTCCTGTACATATGTTTATGCACCACAGGTATGTCTGTGGGGGCCAGAAGAGGGTGTTGAATTCTCTGGACTGGAGTTAGAGATGGCTGTTAGCTCCTGTGGGGGTTGTGGTGGTGCTGAATTTAAACCTGTGTCCTCTGGAATAGCAACCAGTGCTATTTACTGCTGAGCCATCTCTCCAGCCCTTATTTTCTTTAGATCAGGCTAGCCTTGAATTCATATACCTGCGTGCTTCTGCTTTCCGAGTGCTGGGATTAAGGGTGTGTGTTGACTGAGATCAGTTTGACTTTTTAAAAATTTCCCTGTTATTCTTTAGGTGTGTGATTTCTGTCTCTCTTACAGAACATTACAACCAAGAAAGGAGGTGCTTCTAAGCCGCGGGCCGCAGGAACAGGGGGCCTGAGTTTACTCCCTCCTCCACCTGGAGGCAAAGTCACTATCCCCCCACCATCCTCAGTTGCCGTCAGCAACCACGTCACCCCACCACCTATTCCAAAATCTAACCATGGAGGTAATGATGCAGGTAAATCTAACACTTAACTTTGAAAACAGCTAAATTATGGTTTAAATGGGTAACAGCCATTTGCCAGAAAAGATTTTTTTGCTAGGAAGTTGCTTTGGTACTGACATGGTGATTTTGGCAAGGGACCAGTTTGTCTGGTGAAGTGGTGTCTAGTAGGTACTTTGACAGAAACCACGTGGTTATTTAAAAGACTGTTTCTGGGCTGGAGAAGAGTGTAAGCACTGCTCCTACAGAGGTTGGGAGTGTGCTTCCCTGCACCCACATGGATCAGGCAGCTACGGTGTCTGAGGGCTCTGAGGGTACAGGTACAGTCACACATATACATAATTAATTAAAAAGAATAAAGTCTCGGGAAAAAGAAGAACTCTGTCCTTCATTGTTTATTTTAGATGCTAAAAGGCTTGTAGGTCAGAAGTATAAAGTGGATTTGAATGTGGCTTTACTATTCATGTCTGGATGCACTTGGTAAACATCCCTTAAGTTCTCTAAAAAGTTACTTATTTCAGTTGATTTTATTTTTTTGAGACAGGGTCTTATGTAGCCCAGGCTGGTCTTGAATGTGCTATGTAGCTGAAGATGACCCTGAATTCCTGACTCACCTGTCTCTAAGGGCTGGGGTCTTTTTTTTTTTTTTAAAGATTTTATTTATTATGTATATAGCACTTCATGTATGCCTGCAGGCCAGAAGAGGGCACCAAATTTCATTACAGATGGTTGTGAACCACCATGTGGTTGCTGGGAATTGAACTCAGGACCTCTTGAAGAGCAGCCAGTGCTCTTAACCTCTGAGCCATCTCTCCAGCCCAAGGGCTGGGGTCTTACTGAAGGTCTTTGAGTCTCAGTGTGCTTGCTTGCAAAATGGAGGAAAAAATTACCTGGGGTGAGGTTAAATGCTACAGTGCCCAGCCCAGCTTCTGGAGCACAGTAGCCATTCCGTAAAGAGAACATATCTGGTCTGTGCATGTTTGTCATCTTCAGTCAGGCGGTAGCTGCACATGCAGTGCAGCACTTACGAAAGTCGGAGGATCTAGAATCAGAGCCTGCATGGTCCATTGTGAACTGCAGGCCATCTGGAGCCGAGAGCCTCTGCTTAAAGAGAAACCCAGCAAACAAATAGCGTTTGTGTTTGTCCTTACTGACCAGAGGTAAAACAGCAGGTGTAGTTGTCCTCGTTTCAAGGAGATTATTAGCAATCAAAGGAATTTCTTTTCCTTTTTCTTCTTTTGAGGGGATGTTACTGTGTAATCCAGGCTGGCCTAGAGACCTCACTAAGAAATGAAACTCTGTATGTGTGTGTTTGTATGTATTCATATATAGATATACATACACACATTTTGTAGAGTGAAGCCTTTTCCTTGCTAGCTGCTTTGGTTTTTCCCCACCAGTTGCCTAGGCTCTGCCGCGTTGTAGTCCCCAAATAACACACAAGACGCTGTATTAATTATGAAGCTGTTGGCCTTGCTTGTTTCTTACTGGCTAGCTCTGACTTAAGTATTTACTCCATAATTGTTAATCTAAGTATTTCTCTTACCGGAGAAAAGTTCCGAACTTCTTACCCCTGTGGCAGCTACATGATGACTCCCTGTGTTTCTCCTTCTCAGAGTCCTCCTCGACTCCTAGTCCCACCTATCTTGCTTCCCAATTGGCCAACAGTGCTTTATTGACATATACACAGGACTTCCCCATCAACATTTAATATTAGAAAAGCAGGCGTTACACTCTTTTTATATTAGAAAACCAGATATTAGAATTGGTAGATTTTTTTTTTTTTTGATTTTTCAAGATAGGGTTTCTCTGTTTAACCCTGGCTCCCCTGGAACTTGCTCTGTAGACCAGGCTGGCTTTGAACTCACAGAGATCTCCCTGCCTCTGCCTCTCGAGTGCTGGGATTAAAGGTGTGCACCACCAACGCCCGGCTGAAGATTGGTTTTTTAATTAAACTTTTTATTTAGAGTAGAGATTCATACACAGTTACAAGAAATAATGAAAGAAAGTAGGCATAGGTGGTACACACTTCAAATCCCAGCGCTTTGGAGGTAGTGACATAATTTCCAGACCTGCCTGAACTGTCAGAACTTTGCCTCAAATTAAAAAGAAAAGAAAAATACTGAAGAACTTGTGTTCTTTGTTTAGTGCCCTCACTAATAACGAAACTTTCTTTGACTGACATTGACACTGACATTGTCTTCATACCTTAGTCAGGTTTCTCATTCTGTGTATATGAGTGCATAGGTAGGTGGCTTTGGTTTGTGCAGTTTTGCCCTGTGTAGGTTCATGGATCCACTATGACAGTCAGGCTGCAGAACAAGTCTGTATCACTTTCTGTCTTTTAAAAGATTTATTATTATTGTTTATTGTTATTATCATGGCTTTTTTTTTTTTTTGAGACAGGGTCTCTCTGTAGTTCTGGAACTCACTAAGAGATCCTCCCAAGTTCTGGGATTAAAGGTGTGTGCCACCACCGTCTGGCTAAGATTTATTATTTTTAATGTGAGGGCAGGTGCCTCAGAAGCCAAAGGTGTTAGCCCTTGGAGCTGGAGTTAGAGATGGTTGTGAGCCACAGACTTAGGGGCTGGGAACAGAACTTGGGTCCTCTGGAAGAGCAGCTCTTAAGTGAGAGAGAGTACTCTTAACCATTGAGCCATTTCTCTAGCCTCATTGTTAAGAATCTTTGGTGTCACCCTTTATATAACCACACCCCTCCAGCCTTCCTTCTCCTGTCCCTGACTCTTGGCAGTCTCTCTGCTTTGTGTTTATATCAAGTTATTGCTTTAGGAGTGTTAGGTAAATGGGATCATGCAGTTTGTAAACTTGTGGGGGTTGGCTTTTTCCCTTAGTGTGAGCCTCTAGAGATGCACCTCAAGTTGTCCCGTATGTCGAGTTTTCCCTTTTATTGCTGAGTATATGTATTTACTGCAGTGTTTTTAACCATTACCTAAGAGCGTCTGAACTCTCTCTAGTTTTGAGTGCTGTGACCTTTGGGTGTAGGTTTCCCTGTGGATGTATGATTAATGCCCCCCCCATTGTTCAGATATCCTTTTAGATTTGGATTCCCCTGCTCCTGTCACGACTGCAGCACCAGCTCCAGTTTCTACAAGCAGTGACTTGTGGGGAGACTTCAGCACTGCATCCAGGTAATGGGCACAGTGCACCCAACAGCCCCTCCCTCAGGGTGTGGCCAGTGGTTCTCACCCTCCCTGATGCTTCGCCCTTTAATATGGCTCTTCAGGCTGTGGGTGACCCCAGCCATAATATTATCTTCATTGCTGCTGCCGTCATGAAGCATGTGTAAATATCTGATATGTGACCCCTGTGAAAAGATTGTTCCACCCCCACAGGGGTCGTGACCTACAGGCTGAGACTCACTGCTGTAGAGGTGTGTAGTCAGGGAAGCATCTGCCCCCTTGTGGGCTTCGTGTGAGCTCCAGGAAAAGCGATGGAGTGCTGGCATGGGGGAGGAAAGCTGCAGGGAGAGGCTGACTGTGTGCTTCAGGCCTCCTTGGGAAGAGTTCCTCCCGGCATTCTGACAGCAGTTTCTCAGCGACTCGGAAATGACTGGAATCTCATACTCATGTGCCGCCTTGGCTTCCTATCTCCCCCTGTCTTGCAGCTCTGTTCCGAACCAGGCACCACAGCCATCCAACTGGGTCCAGTTTTGAGTGTCATTGGCATGATGTGAAGGACACACTTGAAGAATAAAAATGACTCTGGGGGCACCGTTCTGTGAGGGAGTTGAGGGACCGCTTCATTTCCCAGAACTAAAATCAGTGGACAATCTTTTCTGTAGCTTCTCTGTTGCTTTCAGGATGGATTAATTTGTTACCCCTGTGTTACTTGCTGTATACCAGGAGACCACCTGTTGTTTCCTGCTCACATCCAAGGCAGGGGAGTAGCGGAGATTATCACACTGGACTGTGCAGAGTTCAGAAGGCCAACTTTTAGAGTGCGAGTGACCTCGGACATTTGTAAATTCTTGAACTTGTCTCAGAATCATCTCATGACTTCTGTGTATCTCTTTGTGATGCCCTAGTTAGCAATTTCAGGAGACAAATGCCTTGGCTGTCTTTCCACCAACCCAAGACTAAAAGTGGGCAGGCTGGATTTCCATGGGGGTAGGTTTGCAGAAAGAGCCGTATCCCAGGTCTCTCCTGTAAGGCCTCCTTCAGGCTTATCCCGTTCAGTGAGCATCCAGGGAGCAGCGGCACCGTCACCTCGTGTGTTTACGTCTTTTCCTTTGGTGAAAGGTTGTGCTGGTGGCACCCCACTGTTGTCTACTTGTCCAATAGCGCAGCATCCTTGACAGTGGATATTTCTGAGATGAAGAGGATCAAGGGGCTGTGCTTTCTAAGTTGTAGTCTACAGAACTGTTTTTGCTGCATTTGAAGCATAGCATTAATTTTACTCCCTGCGGGTTTGACCTGAACGTAGGAGTTTTAGCTTGCTGTGTAGAGCAGAGCGGTGGAAGCACTTGGCTCTCGTGCGGTACCACATGCCTTGCTGCCTGGTCTGGATCCCTTTTCATAAGCATTTCTTGTAGTTCATTTAACTGTTCCATGGAAAGCTGCTATTACGTAATTGTCGGTGTGAAAGGCTAAATCACAGCTTTACCTGTGACAGCCTTTGCCCCAGGCTTTGATACCCAGCTAGGATATCTTAAAGCAAGTCACCGTCCCATCACTTTCCCCTCCCTCTGCCCGCCATTCCTTTTATAATGCTGTGAAGAGAGCCCTGTTCAGGTCTGGGTACTATCCACTTTGTTGGGCAATTTGGGGATGGATTGGGAGGATTTACATTTTTCTGTGAGCACCTGTTTGGATATGTACATTCAGCCTGAAGAGGGTCCTTATATTTAATTTCAAATACATTATTTCTCTTGGATATTTTTCTTAGCTGTTTCAAACTTTGGGTCCATTTTTTCCCCCATTGCCTCCCCTTTCCAGGCAGCTCTCTTCTTGTAGAGCCGTGGCAGGACGTTTAAGATTCCAGTAAAAACACTAAGAGGAAAATATAGAAAATATAGTGACTAACTATTGGGAAACCTATTTTCTCAATCTTCCTCCATTTTATGTTCTTTGTATCCTTAAGATGATAATATATTATGTATTTGAATTGCTGAAAATTGAAAATGAAGTTGAAGATATATGTATATAAAGCATATGCTGTATTGGTGCAATAATGGTAATTAAAGATATGAAAAAAGGTTGCTTTTCATCTTTTGGTTTATGTCCTATCTCTCTCTACCAATGGTATAAGTTAAACCCAGGACTTTGTGCATGCTGGTTAAGCGCCTTACTGCTAAGATGCAGTCCCAGCTTCGTTTGTCCTTTTAACAAAAGGGCCATTAATAATAAGAGGGCACATGCACTTGTCATTCTCAAGAAACAGGACGATGGCAGACATTTTTTCAACTCTCCCCCCACCGCCCTTCTGAACTTAACTATCCAGAACCACTAAACTAGAGGAATACAAAAAAGGGCCTTGATGATCATTGCAGCAATGGTACTTTGGATATGTATCAAAAGCACAGACACAGAAGCAGCTCAGGTGATCGGTGTATTGTGAAAAGGAGGGGAAAAAAGTTTTTATTGTATGGAAATAAAGTGTGACTAGTATCAAAAAGTCAAAAAAAGAAGGCCAGTAAGATGGCCCAACAGGTAAGTGCTTGCCGCCAAGCCTGATGACCTGAATTTGGTCCTCAGAATGAACTCCTGTAAGTTGTCTTCTGACCACATGTGTGCCATGGACACTGTACTGACTTTTTTTTTGTCAACTTGACACAAGCTGAGCAAGCCAGGAAGCGGCACCCCTCCGTGGCCTCTGCATCAGCTGCCTCCAAGTTCCAGCCCTATTTGAGTTCCTGTTCTGACTTCCTTTGATGATGAACAGTGATAGGGAAGTGTAAGCCAGATAAACCCTTTCCTCTCCGACCTGCTTTTTGATCATGGCATTTCGTTACAGCAGTAGAAACCCCAACTGACACACACACACTGTAAATAAATAAAAAAGCAAGTGTTATGGAGAGCCGACTTAAGACCAAACTAGACTCCCTTAATATAGATGACAGTGGTGTGACTGGGACAATATATGAGACCACTGGCAGTGGGTTCAAGACCTAACACTAAAGCACAAACTGACTTAGTGGAGCCCATTCTGTATGGAGGGATACAGGGGCGTGGGGGGTGGGGAGGTGCCTTGGTTCTGCCTCAATGATGGGACAGACTTAGTAGACTTCCTAGGGGAGGCCTTACCCTCTCGTGGAGCAGATGGGAGGAGGGGGGAGTGGAGGGAGTGGGAGGAGAGGGGGAACTGGGATTGGAATGTAAAACTAATAATAAAGAAGCAAGTGTTGGGCTGGCAAGATGGCTCAGTAGGTAAGGTGTTTGCTGCCAAGCCTGAGTACTTGGGTTCAATCCCTGAAACCTACCTGATGGAAGGAGAGAACTTAGCCTGTAGATTGTTCTGTGAGCTCCTGTGCTGTGTGTAGATACATAGACAGTAAATAAAGCAAATACTGGTGAAGAGTGCAGAGAAGGGGCACTTCGTATTGGTGAGAAAGCAAATGTCCCAGCCATCACTGATAACAGTATGCAGCGCTTCAACAAATTGAAAGCAGGCTGGAGAGATGGCTCAGAGGTTAAGACCATTTGCTGTTCTCTCAGGGGACCTGGATGAATTCCAGAGATTTGATGCCCTCTTCTGACCTCTGCAGGCACCTGCACACACAGTGCACATACATACATATAAGCATAAAATTAAATTTTAAACAACTAAAGACAAAAACATGCTATACGATCTAGGAGTCTGTCTTCTGGGTAAATGTCTCAGATTACCTATCTACCAGAAATTTATATATAATATATATTCTTTATAACTTTAAAGATGTATTGTTGTTCTTTATTATTGTGTGTGCGTGTCTGTGGAGGTCAGAAGAAAGTGTCAGGTCTGTTGGAATTGTAGTTACAGTGCCTGTGAGCTGCATGACGTGGGTTCTAGGAACTGATTCAGGTCCTCTGTGAAAGCAATGAGCACTGTAACTGTTGAGTCATTCTTCCAGCGCCTTTATTATTATTATTATTATTATTATTTATTTTGGCTTTTCAAGACAGGGTTTCTCTGTCTTGCTTTAGAGCCTGTCCTGGAACACGGTCTGGAGACTAGGTGGGCTTCAAACTCACAGAGATCCACCTGCCTCTGCCTCCCAAGTGCCGGGATTAAAGGTGTGCGCCACCACAGCCTGGCCTTGTTTGTGGTTTTTTTTTTTTTTTTTTTTTTCGAGACAGGGTTTCTCTCTGTTTTGGAGGCTATCCTGGAACTCACTCTGTAGACCAGGCTGGCCTGGCCTCAAACTCACAGAGATCCACCTGCCTCTGCCTCCCAAGTGCTGGGATTAAAGGCGTGTGCCACCAACGCCCTACTCCAGAGCCTTTAAAGTTAACTAAATAATATTCTCCTTGCTGTGTGATGTACACCTCTCTGTGTGGTTGTGGGTGTCCACCAGAGAAGAAGACTGCTCAGACATGGATTTAAGCCAATAGAAAGTCTTTATTAGCTAGCTGGTGACCACTCTGGGTGCTCAGGATCCCAGCCTAGCACTGAGCCTTTCTCTGGGTGATCTTTTAAGCTCAACACCCAAATTCTGGGTTGACACACTTCAGTTAACAAGAACAGTTAGCCAGAAGTGAAACTACACGAGCCAAAAAACAAGGTTAGTACATTGCAGACTTTCTCAGGACTATGGACTTTGATGGTTTAGGTCTTCGTTTTCTTTTTGGCAGGTGGTGCTGTCTACATGCTGAGTTTTACAGCCTGAATGGTACTTCCATCATGGAGTCAGTTGTGCTAAGGCCTGGGGATCTACCAAGGTCTGGGAGCCTGTTAACATGTGTGCGTGTGCGTGTGTGTGTGTGTGTGTGTGTGTGTGTGTGCGCGCACGTGTGCGTGTGTGTGGTTGGAGGAGGATTTGGGGTGCCCTGCTCTATCACATGGAGGCTGACCCCTTGACAGGGTCAGTGAAAGTGGGCCCCGCTGTTCTTCAGCGAGACTGATGGGCAAAGCCCAGCCACCACCCTTCTGTCCCCTTTGCCCCTCCATGCTGCTTATAGGCGAGTGTCTGGCTTTTCTCTGTGGATGTTGGTGCAGCCAGTGCTCTTCCCCACTGAGTCTTGTCCCAGCCCTGCGATCACTAGATTGGAGAGAAAGAGGGTGAAGTTTATTTACTTATTTTGTTTGCTTTGTTAGACAGGGTCTTTCTAAATAGCGGATGTCCTGGAACTCATTGTGTAGACCAGGCTAGCCTCAAACTCATAGAGTTCAAGGATTAAAGCCTAGGATTAAAGGCTTGTGCTACCATAGCCTACTTGTTGGTTCTTGAAACCTGGAATGAATATATATATATATATATATGCATATATACATACATACATACATACGTGCATATATATGCTTGTGGTCCCTCCCCCATCCTCTCCCCCTCCTTCCCTTTGTACCTTCCCCTCTCCTTCATTCCCTCTCTCCCTCCCGCTACCCATTTCTTGTTTACTTTTGAAATCTACGAGATATGATGACAATATATATTTCTAAAAATGTCTAGTGCGCTTGTAATATTTTCATTTGAGTCAGAAGTAAAATGATTGTCTATTGTGAGCTCATGTTTTGTCCCATTCATTTAATAACAATATCATATCCTAAGAATTGGCATAAAAGGGCTACTATGGATTTTTTTTTGTTGGCTTTTCAGTTTTTTTTTTTTTTTTTTTTTTTGGTTTTTGCTATGCTCTGGCAGGAAAGAAATGTCATGGCACACTTCGTGTGGGTATGTAGCTATGCGTCACTGTATGACCACTAGAGGGCATGCTTCCTCTGCAACAGGAAAAATGATAGGCCATGTGTCTCAGACTCGCTGATGAAGGGGACTCTGAAGAAAAACATGAAAATCATCTGAGATCTTTTTTGTTTGTTTATTAGTCTCTGCATAGCCATGGCTGTCCTGGAACTCACTATGTAGACTAGGCTAGACTTGAACTCACAGAGATTTGCCTCCTTCTCTCCCCAAGTGCAAGTATTAAAGGCATGTAACACCACACCAGGCTTATTTGTGTTTTGAGATAGGATCTCATGTAGTTTAGGATAGCCTTGAACTGGATGTATGGCAGAGACAACCTACTACCCCCCCAAGACAGAGTTTCTTTGAGTGCCCCCCCCAACTTGGAATTCACTCTGAAGACCAGGCCGGCCTCAAACTCAGAGATCCACCTGCCTCTGCTTCCCAAGTGCTGGGATTAAAGGCCTGCGCCACCACTGCCAGGCTGGAAAAGTGAGGAAAAAGTACATCATAGAGTCATTGTGGTAGTGAAGTGACTTGAATAATCCCAGAGCTTGTGATTAGCTTCTGTAGGTTTCATCATTGATTGGAATAACTGAAGGGCATGGAAAAGGCTTGGTGCTCTGGCAGCTCTGTGTAAGTATCTGCCACCACTATGAACAGCCCCAGCCCCTGCGCGTGTGCCCAGATGCCTGCTCTCATTGAGATGGGATGGTAAATGTCAGGGCGTGGCATTGTCCCATACCTGAGTAGGCACACTCTGGGATATGGAGTGCAGGGGTCATTGGGCAAGGGACAAATGGAGAGTGAGAGACAATGGGGAGACAAACTGCATAGAACAAGTTCAGGGAGACTGAACGTACCTTGAGGACCAAGCTCTTCATTCTGTAATCCCGATGCATTTTATGAAACAGTTTTTGTGTGCTTATGTGTAACTGTTTACCTAAATATTCTTAGGTAAAATTTATACTAAAATAAATGTTACTTAGAATTCATAATGTTTTAAAATCTTTCCTATGCCTATATATTTGTATGTATGTATGGATTTATTTTGCTG